AAGGCCTCCCAGCCGGGAGTCAACAACAAAATCGGGCTGACAAAACACACACACACACACACACACACACACACACACACACACACTCACACTAAAGGCCTCCCGGCCGGGAATCAACAACAAAAATCAGGATTTCCATCATCAGGGTTTCCATCCGTGGACTTCCCAGTGGGTCCCACTTCCCTCGGGAAGCAATCCAGACTGGCCCCCACCAGGGGGCTTGTTGGTTAGGCCGGCACTTACATACACAGCTGAAGGCACCTTGGCCAGAGGAGATGTTTTCTCTTAGTACGAAATCCAGAATGGGGTGTTTCCTAACTTAAAGAAATGTTTAGCTGTAACAATGCACTCCACGTTGTTTGTGAAATTCACTTTTAACTATCTAAATAGAAGGGAGCGGGGCAAGGGAAAGAAAAATACCCTTAGCTCTTGGGACTGAGTTATGCAAAGGTTTGTAGATCTTCTTAAATAGGAAAATAATTGAAACCAGTCCTAGGACCTTAGTATTATAAGGTGAGTTAACTATTATGTAACAGACGATGTTGTTCTCTTTGTAAGTTTTGAGGACTATCTCTCAGTGAAGACTTTCTGAAAAAGTCCTGTGAGTCAAACAGAAAACTGAAGGGTGTGTTTATGATTATAACCCTAGCAGGCCTAAACAGTTACCACTTTCCTCCAAAAGAAAATTCTTGGTATGCCTTATCTTGCATGAGAGAAAAAAAAATCAAAAGAATATCAAAGCACACAGTGTTTTCAGTTCACACAATCACGATGGATTTCTGTGACGCTCACTGACCCAAACCCCTCACACATATTCTCAGAAGAAAGAACTCCCTGGATGCCCTTGTCAAGTATTTCAGGTCACCATTTTGTAAGTCATTTCCAGGGTTTGGATTATGCTCCAGAGACTTCAAAGAATGATTGGAGACTGATTCAAAAATACCTGAACGTTCTCCTAAGGCCATTTGTGAACTGACAGAACCGGGGTAACCAAAAGCCCTTAGGATGGTGGAGACCATTTTGGTAGTGAGCTCCACTCCTTCAAGTCCCATGCTATGAGTTCCTATTCCTACAGGCCTCTGACCCATGGGGTCACGATCTTCAAGTCTGGGGGACAGGGGACAATGAAAGTAAGGAGCAAGCTTCGTTTGTGGAAGGTTCCTCCCGGAGATGATCTGGGATTTGGCACTGGCGGTTTTAACACCGCCGTCAAAAGCAGCCTCTCAGCTTTATTCCAGAGCCTAACATCCTAGGGGATGTCACAAGACCCCCAGAGCAGCGGCAGTGGGTAGGGTCCAGCGGGCGAGCGGTCTGGACACCCGAAGACACTCAGTGAACCAGCTTTGCAGTAAAAGACCACGGAAGGGCTCAATTATTGTCTTGGGGAGACATGTTCCATTTTCCGCATTACTTCTTTGTTTCATCTTCCAATCAGTCACTTGTTAGGTTCCCACCAAGTCTTGGAGACATCGGTGCCATTGTCGTCTGCACAGGATAAATTCTCTCAGGAGAAAGAACCTGGGAGAACTGGCCAGTCTCAGGGAACGGAAGTAATAGAAGGTTTCCTATTTCACGGACAGGAAGGACCGCAGACACAGGGAGAGAAGCCGTTAGACTGCTTCTAGAGGACCAAGGAATGAACAGTGATCTGACTTCCGTTGCTGGGGTGCAGATCCGGCAGATCTGGCTTCAGACCTCAGGCGAAACTCTGAGCATCATCTAATCCCTATGCGTGCTGAGCTGTAGATGTAGACTGAATAGCTGTCTCTGGCGTACAAAGAACACATTTCCAAAGTTCTGCAGTCTCTGTTGAAATTAATAAAATACAAATGTATTTGGAAAGGTACAGGAATGGGATGAGTCTCTTGGAGCACATGGAAGCAGTAACACAGGGCTCTAATCCAGAAGGTGACCCTGTCTTTATGTATGTGGCATAGGATGGACTCTAGGTTACAGATCTTCTCTCTCTCTCTCGCTCTCTTGAGTCAGAGTCTTACTGTGTTGTCAGGCTGGAGTGCAGTGGCATGATCATGGCCACCACAGCCTCACTCTGCAGAGCTTAGGCGATCTGTCCACCTCAGCCTTCCAAATAACTTATATTATAGGTGCATACCACCATACCTCGCTAATTTTTTGGATTTTTCTTTTTTTTTTTTGAGTTGGAGTCTCACTCTGTCGCCCAGACTGGAGTGCAGGGGCCGCTCCCGGGCCACCACAGCCTCGACTGCTGGGCTCCG